TCGCCAGGCATGATTTTAAAAGTACGAAATTCCGGATCGCCCGGCGAAACCCTTCGCCAGCCCTGGCGAAAGGTTTTAAAAGTACGGGCCTTAGAGACAGCATAGAGGGAGGCGGGGAAAGGAGGGGGGGGGGGGAGGTTACCTTGTGCATAGTGTGAGATTCTCTAAAATGCCAAAAATACGTACTTTCACGAGCTTCTATAGGCTATGCAGTTTGTAAATAATGTTTTCAGGATTAAATGAATATTTTTTTCGGGACAATGATGATTTCAAGTGTCTGTTGATTTTGTTTACGATTTAAAGTCACAATAGGTATTTAATTAACCTGTATATTTTCTTTATATTCCACTTCCATTCCACTGATATTCACATTTCTTTATACAAACCAGTTCTGTTGAGTTTGTAGAATAGCGTTGTATCACACACCTGTCCACGCCATGCCAGATGAACATGACAGACCAGAGGCTGTCATGTTGAAGAAGTGAAAAGAGACGAGAGAAAGAGAGGCCCACAGAGGGTGAAGTCCGGAAGCGGGAATCTGCCTGATAATTTTCTATTCTAGTTTTCCTTTGTTTATCTCCGGGAAGGGTGGGGAAACCAGTAGCTTTATATGCTTGGATGCGAACACACACACATACATACACATCCATACACACACACACACACACACACACACACACACACACACACACATCATACACACACACACACACACACACACACACACACACACATATATAAAAAAATATTTATATGTATATCTATATCTCTACTCTATCTATGTATCTATGTCTGTCTGTCTCTCTGTCTGTCTATCTATCTATCTATCTATCTATCTATCTATCTATCTATCTATCTATCTATCTATCTATCTATCTATCTATCTATATCCTATGTGATACACCACTATTTTTCCAGTACATCAAGAAATTCCTCTACCATCTGTGTTACTCTCTTTCTCCCAAGATACTACATAATTATGGAAGTAGACATAACACAACACAGGGGCTAAATCAACTGTCCTATAAAAAAGTCTAATATTAGTATTTGTAGCATAATTATTACTATGTTTTGTATTAGTTGCACATTTTATGACATAGGTACTAAATCTCCTTTGTATGTTATGAATAAGGAGAATGTTTTCTAAATATATTCTTAGAAGACAAAAGTGCGTTTTAGTCTGAAATAGAGAGAGAGAGAGAGAGAGAGAGAGAGAGAGAGAAGAGAGAGAGAGGTATCTACCTTAAGACAATAAAATATGTATATTACAAAATGATTTTGTAATTATAAAGGAAACATAAAAACCAAAAAGCTCGCGATATTGTTTTATTTCCTTGGTAAATGCACCACATTCTTTCACAGAGAAATTTGTCAGAGTATGTCATTTTTACAATTATTATGCAGGTGATATATCAACAAATAAAAAATATGATCTAAGTGATCGAAGCACCTGAAAAAAATCTTAAAAGTTGAAAACTAAAAGTGTTCGTTTAGTTGACTCGCAATTTATTATTTAGATATATTATAATGATAGCAGTCATAGCAACAATGACGATAGCAATAATTAAGGTACTAGTAATGGTGATGATAGTAATAATTATGATGACAATGATAATGATAATAACAATAATAATGATAATAATTATAATAATAATAATAATAGTAATGGTGATAATAATAAAAATGATAACAAAAAATTATAATACTGACAATAACAACAAAACTACTAATGATGATAACGATAAATAAGAAATCAGATAAAACAAAACAGATAAAAATAACGTTAATGAAAATGCATTGCACTTAGCATGCCACTACTGTCATGACAATTACCCCAGTTATTAGAGCTATTACCCACATCATCATTATCAACACTACACCATCACCACCACCATACCATCACCACCACACCATTACCATCATCAGAGAATACCAGGCGTATGAAAAAAAAAAAAAAATCCCCTGCCAGTAAGTGATCAATCCCCCCTTACATGGTGACCACCGTTCTGAGCGCCTTCCCCTGGTGCATGAGGTCAAAGGCTTCGTTGATCTCCGCCAGAGGCTTCATGAAGGTCACGAACTCGTCCACCATGACCTTGCCGTTCATGTAGTCGTTGACCAACTTGGGTACACTCTCGCGGGACTTGAAACCTGAGGGTGGAAAGGGGAAAGGGCGAGGGGAATATTGTTTTTTTTCTCTTTTTTTATAAAGGTTGTGTGATGTGGTTGGATTTTAAGGTGGTTGTTATGTCAGGATGGTTGGGTTGTTATGTGGTTGTGGTTAGATTCTATGAGGTTAGGCTGAGTAACTTGAGGAGGTGGAGTTAAATCGGTGAGGTTAAATTATTGAGGTTAGATTTTAAAGGTTTGACTTAAATTTTAAGATACAGTTTAGGTATGAAGGGTTGATTTATAAAATTATTGAAGTTAAATTCTTTAAGGTTTAGGTTAAGTTACCTGAGGAGGTGGTGTTAAAAAGTTAAGGTTAAATTGCTTTACTGTTGAGTTTAAATCGTTTAAGTAAGATTGAACTCCCTAGAATGTTTACGTTGATTTAATTGCAGAAGTTTAATACCTTAATCGGTTAAGTTAAGGGTCGCCATTTTTTTTTCATGTGTACAAACCGTCCGTCGGGAGGGGGGGGGGTATCTCTAGCATACGCTTTTTACGATCATGTAAAATTCTTTAAAAAAATGGCTGACCCCTAATTTAACCGATTAAGATAATGAACTTCTATAACATCGTAAAAACTGACAATCCAGATCAAATTGGAGATCCTAGAGCAAAATGTCATAATTTTTATATCTTGGCTCTTTACACTCTGGAGGGGAGGGGGGGGGGTCATGGAAAAAGAGTACTTTTTGCAAGCTTGTGAAAATGATGAACAAACTGGATAAACCTTAGACTGCGCAGAGAAGAATTTCTCAATTACAAATGAGTATATTGGTGGATAGATAAGGTTAGAGAAAAAGAAACTTATTTTTTCAATAAGCATATAAATCCAATACCTTTTTGCTATGTTAGATGATGATATTGTTCAAATAATTCCCGCTAAAATGTAATCTTTGAAGCTTAAACAACAGGAAAATAAATCATTTGTCAAGAAAATGATAAATAGATAAATGATACAAGATAATATTTCAAGGCAATATGAGAAAAAGAAAGCTAGCTGATTATGTCCCTACTAGATGAGATAGATAGTAGTGGAGATAAGAGGTCTGACCTGATCAACAACAGTGCTAATCAAAACCAAAAACTTAAAAAAAAAAAAAAATATGCCTATGATATGGCTGATTACTGAAAGATTTATTTATTTGATTATTGAAAGATTGTAATTTTTTATTTCTTTGATGTTGTTCAATGCAGTGAAGTACACAATATTAATAATCTTTTCTTTCGATCCGAAGAAGTAAAAGATACATTTGCCGAAAATCTTGACAAACCAAACTTGTCACTAAGTTGCAATAGACCCAATATGGTTAACTAGTAATAATAATGGTAATAATAACATTAGCAATCGTAATGCTAATGGTAATAATAACATTAGTAATCGTAATAATAATGATAATAATGAAAATGATAATAACAACGGTAATCCACAATTAATTCCATAATGATAATAATCGTAATAATGATAATGATAATAATAACATTAATCATAATGCAATCGTGATAATCAAAATAATGATAATAATAATTAGCAATCGATAATGATAATGATAATAATAACATTAGCAATCGTATTATTAATGATTATGATAATAATTAGTAATAATAATGAACTAATCACTAGGTTGCAATAGACCCAATACCTTTGCCTACGAAAAAAGAATGATGAATATGAATGAAATATGAATGAAAGAATGAGACTGTAATGATAATAATGACACTAGTAAGAGTAATAATAATGATAATGATAATAATTAGTAATAATAATGAACTAATCACTAAGTTGCAATAGACCCAATACCTGTGCCTACGAAAGAAGAATCAATTTATCACACAGGTAACCCATTAAGTGAGGTTAAAGCCGACCCTAGTTAAGCAACGAAATGAAAATTAAGAATCTGGAATACAGATTGCACACATTGCATAACCTTTGCATTTTCAACCACGGGAGAAATATGCTCTGAAATTATCTCGGGAAAAAAATAAATGAATTAAAAACGATTAATTAAAAAAATAATTAATAAAAAAGCGAATTAAGATGCTAAGATGCTATCAGTCTTTCTTCCTATTTATTTTTCCTTCAACTTACCTGATCATAAAGTCCTAAAATTACCTTACTCAAACTACATTAAAAAAAAAACTTTAAAACTTTTACATTCTTTATCCTTTTTATATAATTATTGTTTATGTAATTATTGTGGAAAGGTATGAATGAGAGTTATTCATTCTCATTCATGCCTTTCCACATTTGTCAACATCAATATGGCTTATATCATTATTCGCAAATCCTTAAGACACAGGTATTACTATCCCTCAAGAATGGACTCGAGGGATAGTGATGAGTGCAAAGAGAGTACTGTACTGGGTAACGTCTTCCATGATGAATGAAAATGATAAGGTAGTATTGGTATCACCATGTTAATCATTTTAACAAACCTTGAACTCAGCCTTATACTACTACTGCTAATACTACTACTATTGCTACTGCTGCTACAACAACTGCAGCTGTTATTGCCACTGTTGATGCAAGTATTACTACTTCCTGACTCTACCTCTCCCTCCCTCCCTCCCTCCTCTTCCTTCTCCTCTGTCTCTGTCTCTCTCTCTCACTCTCACTCCCACTCCCCTCCCCCTCTCTCTCTCTCTCTCTCTTCACTCCTCCCTCCGCTCTCTCTCTCTCTCTCACTCTCTCTCTCTCTCTCTCACTCCATCCCTCCTTCCCCTCTCACTCCCTCTCTCTCTCTCTCTCTCACTCCCTCCCTCTCTCTCTCTCACTCCCTCCTTCCCCCTCTCCCTCCCTCCTTCTCCCTCTCCCTCCCTCCTTCCCCGTCATCTCCCACCCTCCCTCTCCCCCCCTCCCACCCTCACCACCTCACCTCCACCCTCCTTCCTCACCTCCGAAAGCCGACCCCTTCCACACCCTCCCCGTCACCAGCTGGAAGGGCCTGGTGGTGATCTCCACGCCCGCCGCCGCCACGCCTATGATGACGCTCTCGCCCCACCCCTTGTGACACGCCTCCAGCGCCTGCCGCATGGTCTTCGCGTTGCCGATGCACTCGAAGGTGTAGTCGCAGCCTCCGTCGGTCATCTCGACGAGGGCGGCCACTGTGTCCGGGACCTTCAGCGGGTTCAAGAAGGCGTTGCAGCCGAATTGCTTGGCTGTGGGAGGGATAATGGTGGTAATGATGATAATACTAGTAACTGTAATAATAATGATAATGATAATAATTAGTAATAATAATGATAATAATAGTTATAATAATAATAATAATAATAATAATAATATATGATAATAATAATGATAATAATAATAATAATAACAGTAATAATAATAACAATGATAAATAATAATAGTAATAAATAATCACATCCTCAACTCTCTCCCACCCCACACCCCTTCAAACCCCCCACACCCTCCCCCACAACCCCGCACCCCCTTCAACCCACCTCCCTTCAAACCCCCCTTCCCCCTTCAAACCCCCCAGACACCCCCTTCAAACCCCCCACACACCTTCAAACCCTCCCCCCTCCCCCAGACCCCCTTCAAACCCTACCCTACCCCCCCCACACCCCTTCCTTCAACCCCACACCCTTCCTTCAAACCCCCACACCCCTTCCCACAACCCTCACACGCCATCCTCACCCATCTCGAACTTGGCTTCATTGATGTCGACGCCGATGATCTTGCTGGCGCCGCGCTCCTGCACCCCATCGCCGCCGCCAGACCCACGGCGCCCAGGCCGAAGATGGCGACGTTGCTCCCCTTCTCGACCTGGGGGAGGAGAGGGAGGTGGAAGGGAGGGAGGGAGGGAGAGGGAAAGGGAGGGGGGGAGGGGGAAGGGGGGAGAGGGAGGTGGTGGAAGGGGGGAGAGGGGTGGAAGGGGAAGAGAGAAAGAAAGGGGGGGAGAGAAAGAAAGGGGGGGAGGGAGGAAGGTGGAAGGGAGGAGGGCGAGGAGGACGAGGAGCAGGTGGAGGAAGGGGAAGAGGGAGGTGGAGGTGGTGGAAGGGGGGAAAGGGAGGAGGACGAGGAGGAGAGAGGGAGGTGGAAAGGAGGAGAGTGGGAGGTGGAGTGGTGGAAGGGGGGAAGGGAGGAGGAGAGGAGGAGTAGGAGGAGGGGGTAAGGGGTAAGAGAGAGGGGAAAGGGAAGGGGGAGGAAGGGAGAAGGGAGAATGAGGGGGGGAAGGAAGAAGGAGAGGAGGTAGAGATGAAGGTAGAAGAGGAGGAGATGGAAGTGGAAAAGGTGGAGGGGTGAGGGGAGGTATAGATGGAGGTGGGGGGAGGAGAAGGTAGAAGGGGGGAACGAGGGAAGAGGAGGAGGAGGAAAGAGAAGGGAAAGAAGTAGAGGAAGAAGAGGAAATGGTAGAAGAGGAGTTGGTGAAAAAGAAGGAGGGTTGAGAACAGTAGAATGAGAGGGAGAAAAAGGAGTGGGAGCAAAAGGAACAGGAGGAGAAGAAAGAGCATTTAGTACTAAATAGTTTCTCTTTTTCTATTTACTAATTTTAGTTTTTATGCTGTTACTATCATCTCGTCATTCTGTGACAATAAGTACCATTATTCTCTTCATTATCCTTATATAAGCATATCCATTAGTATCATCTTTGCCGCAATTACCACAATCACCATTATCAATTCAATAAAAATAGAGAGACAACATTACTAACGTTAGCAGTATTGAGAGCAGCGCCATATCCCGTGCTGATGCCGCAGCCAAGCAGGCATACCTTTTCCAGGGGGGCTTTTTCGTTGACCTTAGAGAGAAAGAAACATTCATTTATACTCAATGGGTGTAGGTATGTATTCTCCTTCCTTAGATCTACAAAGGGTAGGTATGGCTGCATAGATCTACAAAGTTTAGAGGTATGCACTTAGATCTACAAAGTTTTAGCATAGGTTTAGAGGTATGCATTCTCCTTCCTTAGATCTACAAAGTTTAGAGGTATGCATTCTCCTTCCTTAGATCTACAAAGTTTAGAGGTATGCATTCTCCTTCCTTAGATCTACAAAGTTTAGAGGTATGCATTCTCCTTAGATCTACAAAGTTTAAGGTATGCATTCTCCTTCCTAGATCTACAAAGTTTAGAGGTATGCATTCTCCTTCCTTAGATCTACAAAGTTTAGAGGTATGCATTCTCCTTCCTTAGATCTAGGATGGAGAAATTAGCTTAATATAGGAAATTTGTGTTTATTCGTTAGCTTAAGTTTATTTCGTTGAGGTTTAATGTATGCATTCGCCTTCCTTTAATCTAGGATGGAGAAAATAGCTTAATATAGGAAATTTAAGTGTTTATTCGAGGGCTTAAGTTTATTTCGTTGAGGTTTAACGTAGGGAAG